CATAATTTAATTCAAGGCAAGTTAAGGTCTAGTCAAGGTGAAGTCGAAGTCAAGTCAAGCAAGTCTTTAAAGTTGTTCAAGAGTCTTTATTGAATGTTTTAACTTCATTTTAAGGCTCAAGTTTCAAGTCAAGTAAAAAGTAAAGAGTCTCAAGTTCCAAGTTAAGTAAAGAGTATAGAGTCAAGTTCATTTCTCAAAAGTTATTAGGGAACTAAGTATTCCCAAAGAAGTTTATAAATGTTTTCACATTTAAGACGAGAGGAAACTGAGATTTCCAAAAGAGTTTTGAGAAGTTTGAGTACTATCTCTTTTTTGAGAAAGATGAGTTTTGCGAAAGAGTTTCTAAATCATGATTAGTATGACAAATCGAGTATGTCATCAATGTTTAAATAGTATGGTCTCTAGGTATACCATCAATGTTTAAGTAGTATGAATATCCTGAGTCATCAATGATCATATTAAAATATGGTTTTGATATGTTCTTTTTAGAAAGAGTTTTCAAGAAAAGGAACTATGTTTCCAAAAGAGCCTTTGGGCTAGATTTTGAGTAATTATCTCAACTAAAGAAAGATGTGTTTAAAACACTTATGAGCTAAAGTATTTTTAGGGAGTAGTCTTGAGCACCGAATTGGGGACACGAGTTCATATTAACTCAACTCTCCATAAGAACCATGCGGCCAACATGGAGTTTAACGGGTCATACTTTTAGATGATCCCATAAGTTAAGCTAGTGGATCCACTTAGTAAAGTTAGCTTCCTATATCACGGCAAGGTATAGGATGGTTCTTGGGCAACGTGAGGTAACACATTGTATCACCACTTAGTTTCATAGTGGTGGTTATCGGTTAGAGAAACTCCCACAGTAGAAATTGCATGGTTCCTCGAGGGGTTCTGCTTAGTATGGATGGGGGTATAGGACTTCATTCATGCAATGCACAAGTAGACTTTGAGAGGAAGCATGGTATTTTCATGATATTATAAATATGATTTTGACGTCATGTTTTAAATAGTTTTACAAAGCTTTATATATATTGCATGTGCCTCATTGCTTTATATTGAGTTCAGTTATTCATGATTTGAACAGAGCCAAGGTAAGTTCTCTTTTGTATCCCTTTCAAGCTTAAGTTGTTGTTTAGCGGTTCAGCTCGCATACTCGTACATTCCATGTACTGATGCCAGTTGGCCTGCATCGTCTTATGATGCAGACACAGGTACCCAGGATCAGCATCCAGCACGCCGTTGATCCAGTTGTGCACTCCAGAGTTAGTGGTGAGCCTCTTTGCATTCTGGAGGACTCGATTATTTTGTTCTCCTAGTTGTGTTTTATTAGGATGTTGTGGGGTCTGTCCCAACATCCATCTCAGTGTTATAGAGGCTTCATAGACAGTCAGTCAGTTAGTATTGAGTCTCTCATCTATGTATATATGTAAATATTCTATTTTGAGACTTGAGTTGCCTTTTTGGCCAGATTTTATCAGTTGAGTTGTTTTATGACCTTTCATTGCATTGAGTTATTCTGTTGAGTTAGGTTTCCGCTGAGTTAAGAAAGCCAGGCCAAGGGTTCGCTTGGGGGCCAGCAATGGTCTTCGAGTGCCGGCCACGTCCAGGGTGTAGGCTTGGGGCATGACATTTCACCCCTTATTTTCATTTATTTATTTTACAAATAAAATCAATGCATAATTATTAATACATTTTATGTAATAAAATTGTACATTTCAATTATTTATAACTTGTATCTCTTCATTTACTTGTAACTTCTAATCTTAAATATTATTCATAACTTTTGTATGTTTCATTTTTCATAATTCTTATAAATATATTTAATTAGCGTTTAAAAAATTATAATAATAAAGACATAATAAAAGATTTAACTTTTTTTTACGATATCAGAATTTGTATAGAAAATTAGTACTTCTACAAAAGATAGAGGAAATTCAAACATATAAAATATGAGTGATTTTTGTATTATAAAACAAAGTTGAGTCACTTTATAAGTGAACTATTTAAAGTTGAGTGACCATATTGGCTGAAGGTGGTATTTTGGGAAAAGGGTATTTAGCAGCTTTGACATCCAGTTTAGTCTTTCAGATTTCTGTTGGGAGGTGAAAAAGGAAAGGGTGATGTATTTGTATCAACAAACTCTCGTTCCTCGAGAATGTAAAATGTATTTAGAGAGATAGAATGACAGCACATCCCTATTTAATGGGAAGACTCTCACTTGAGCAGAAATGTGACAGCACCATTCCAAACCCACTTGTGGCGTTTGAGATTACATTGAATATACTGTTGTTGCTCTAACTGTAACATCCGACAATTTGAAATAGTTTTGAAGAGGCTTAGAATTGGAAATTTTCATTTTTGGAAAGAATTTTGAAAATCTGGAAAATTTGGCTAAGTGTGGAACAAGTGAATTTTGGCCAACTTTGAGTAGTCATAACTTCCAGATCAGGATGAGTTAGGAGTATTTCCAGTTATTTTTGCGAAACTCGTGGAAATATCTTTCCAACGCCACCGAGTTTGCTCGATTCCGAATTCGTATGAGTGAGATATTCCCTTTGAAAGTTGGGCAGTTGACAGGGAATCCGTCCGGAAATTTTTAAGGGCATTTTGGTCTTTTCCCTAGCTATTTCTTTTGAGGTTATATTGATGTGTTAGGCTGATTGTGGATCATTTTTGTTCCATTTTAAAAGAGTTAGAGCTAGGGCTTGAGAGTGAAGAAGAGAAGAAGAAGAGAAGAAGAGGAGAAGAGGAAGAGAAAGAGGAGATCAAGCAAGTTTCCGTCGTGGAAATCATCGGGGGTGATCCCTATTGAGGTATGTGAGTTCATAGTGTGGGTTTATCCTTTCCCCCACACACCAAGCTCCTTTTATTATTGAGAAAAGATTGATAGAGTTGTTGAAATTGTTGGTTTGTGTTGTTGAAGTTGTTGGTTGTGTTGTTAGAAGTTCTTGTTGGTTTAGTACATGATTTGGTTGTGTTTTTGATTTGAAACCTCTTGTATGTTGAGGGATTTTATGATTCTTAGTGTTTGGGGTTGAAACCTTTGAAGTTAAGGTGGTTTAGAGTTGGCAAAACAAGAGAGGAAAGTCGAGTTTTCGGGGAAAAGGGCTGGGCGTCGCGCCAGCCAGCGCGCCCCAGCAGGGGCTCTGAAGTTTCCCCCATGGGGTGCCGTGCCTAGCAGTGCGCCACAACCTGCCCTCTGAAGTGTCAAGGCTGGCGCTCCACGCCTCTCAGAGCGCTAGGGACGCCAACCTTTCCCATTAATTCCCCCCTTGTCCATGCATGTTTCATGGTATTGTACCAATGTTTCATAGTTGTTTCCGTTACTCCAAGGTACGTTTAAACATCAAGAACTCCTCCATATCATGTGATCAAACACCTTGAATTCATAATCCAATTGAAGGAGAGTTAGTATCAAGTCAAAGTGAGGTTAGAGTCAAGTCAAGCAAAGTTAAGAAATAAGTCCAAGCAAGTCTCTAAAGCTTTTCAAGAGACGTTATTGAACGTCTTAACTTCGTTTCAAGTTTCAAGTCAAGTAAAGGGTTTAGAGTTCCAAGTTAAGTAAAGAGTTTCAAGTCAAGAAAAGGGTATAGAGTTTCAAGCTAAGTGAAAAGTCTCAAGTTTCAAGTTAAGTCAAGAGCATAAAGTCGTAGTCCTTTTTCCAAAGTTATTAGGGAACTATGTAACTTCCCAAAGAAGTTTCTAAATGTTTTTTTTTTACATTTAAGTAAGAAAGGAACCATGTTTTCCAAAAGAGCCTTTTGGACTAAGTTTTGAGTAATTATCTCAATCAAAGAAAGATGTGTTTCAAGACACTTATGAGCCAAAGTATTTTCGGGAGTAGTATTGAGCACCGAATTGGGGACACGAGTTCATAGTAACTCAACTCTCCATAAGAACCATGCACCAACATGGGACTTGACATACCATTCTTTTTAGATGATCACGTAAGATTAGGCTAGTGGATCCACTAAGCAAAAGTAAGGTCCTATATCGATGGCAAGGTATAGGATGGTCCTTTGGCAACGTAAGGTAAAACGTTGTATCATCACTAAGGCTCGTAGTGGTGGTTGTCGGTTAAAGAACCTCCCACAAAAGCTATATTACTTCTATATAAGTAAAGTTGAGTTTGTTAT